GGGTGATTTGTCTTGAAATTGTGTGCTTTACATAGTAGATGATATGGACTACAATATGAATTAAACTGGACTATTATAGCTCACATAGTTGTCGAGCTATGAATTCACAATAAAAAAATCTCATTGTATTTGTTGATCAATTTCAGTGCTCACGACATAATACACACAAAAAAAAGGAAAAAATTGTTAGAGGGGACCCAAAGATGATGTTGTTGGTTGCTGACTTGGAGTTGAAAAGTCCATTAGCACTTCACCTAACTTTTGTTCCATTTTTGTATTTTCTTGAGCTATAAGTTGAAGAGCTTCTTGTTCAGTCATTACACCACCTATAGACAGTTTTGATAGAATTTGATTAATTTTTATGTTAGATAATCCAACTATTTGAAATGCACTGTCGATCTTAAATAAAAAAAGGAAAAGATCGAGGTAAAATATGTGATTGAGACACAGCATGGAAACTAGGGATATTAATTGACTCTTATTTTATAAGGTAAAACAATTAAAATATTAATCTTTAAAAAAAAAATAAAAACCAGTGAAATTTTATCTTTGACAACTTATTCCAACAATATACCAAATATTTATCTTTATTTCTTAAAGATGAAGATTTCATTCTACGCAACTTTACATTTATTTCTTCATTTTTGTTCTATATATCATGTCCATATCAAATATAAATCATAAATGACTTAAAAATAATTCGATTATTACAAAAGTAATCGTATATTAAATTAGACTCTCTCTTCTATACAGTAAATATTCATGATCCCTAATGAAATTCTCTTATTACCATGATTATTTAAATATGTACTAGAATAAATACACAAAAATTGAAACATTTTGAAATCTTTGCTTAAAAGATAATATTATTCCGTAAAACTAATTTATTTCACTAAATTCACTTAATAGAATTCTTTCAAAAAAACTTGATTTACAAAAATTTATGTATTAAATAACTACTTCAAATATTTAAACATTACTTAGTAATAAGAATAAGAAAGAAAATTATTAAATTTAATAAAAATGTTTAATAGAGTGAAAATTGATCATAAGAAATTGGATGCATATAAATCAACATAGAACAAATATGAACATCAATTATACTATGTTTCGATCAATAAATTTTATCAGTACCGAACATTTGCGAGTACAAATGTAAACAATAAATTTTTTTATTATTTTTCATTCTAATCTCAATTAGATTCTAATAACTTCTTTTCTCGATCTTAGTTTCGATTAAGATAAAATGATTTTAAAATGTTCTTATAATAAAAAAACAATAATTCAGTCTTTGCTTGTTTGATTTCTTTAGTCAAAGAGTATATTATATATTGTGGCCCTTCCTGTTGTGTTTTGTTTACGTCAGTATCATGTAAAATCTAATTCATTTGAAAACGATAAAATATCTAACAAGAAATGATAGTTCATATTCCGAAATCTAAACTGATATTGGATATCTATGATTTGAAACTATTTATTCGATTAAAAGATTATTGTTTATTATTTTTTAATATATTTCATTCAATATAGGTTTATGAAACAGGATCTAAAGTAAGTGTTGAAGTATATACGGTAGAAATTTGAAGTCCCTGCCCTTTCCTCACAGACGATCTCAAGATACTATCATAGACCTTATATCACTAGCATGTCATGAGCGTATATATGCACTACTTCCTTGTTACAGTTCTAACAGTTTATGTCAATGGCGATGAAGAAATATATGCCAAAATAGATCGAATAAAAGAAACACAAAAATTATGCTAACAGTTTTTTTTCCGAAAATAGAACTGTCCAAAGAAATTAATCGAGCAATCGATTGAGATGTTCTGTCTCTATCGAGTGGTACATTACACAACTGTTTTCGATACATTCTGATATAAAGAAAATTTACTTTTTTACATTAGAGCATCACTAGTTAGTATTAATTATGACGAATCAGTAATGAAAAGGCACATAAAAAAGTCATTTTTAATAATTTTTTGCATGCAATTATGTCTACAAATAATTGTTTATGAAATTACACTAGAATCAACTTAATATATTATTCATATGAAACACTAGGAGTATTTTAGAAAATGCTTCTCCACCTAAAATTTCCAATTCATTTTGAACTTAGTTAATTATTAATTCAGTCAATAGTTTAACATTTTTTTTTATCGCATAAGCTTACCATTGAAGGTATTCCCTACAAACTGATGATGGATGAAGGCATGTTAAGGAGAAATACTATCTTCTGCTTCCCTCTTTTAAATGACTAAAATATCAGTATAATACAGCGAATTGAGTATCAGAATGAGAATTTTTATTTCTAATCTTGAGATAACATTAATGATATAATATCATATGCATTGGATTTAATAAAACAAATCCTTTCCAATATGGTTTAAACTTAGTTAATTATTAGAGGACTTCTACATTACGATAACGAAAAGGTGTTAAGATTCTACGTGAACATACTATCCAATTTTGAGAATATATTTCCGTAAAAAAAGAGGATGTCAGATCACATTTGAATATGAAAAGTTTCATTCTTGAAAAATCCTAACGACTATCTCTGTATTCTAGCGTGTAAGCAGATGCTATTTATAACTGATCTCATCACATCATCATTGCACGCTAGTGATCAGTCGCATATTATATATTTTCTTTTTTTCCTCTCTCTCTCGTGGTGTTGTTTATCTTCACTACTATCACCAACACATCTTCATCACCAACGACTAGGTGTTGAAGATGATCCCGAACCCAACACTCCCACCGGACTTAACAACATTCTTCAATCGTTTTTCGAATGAAGAACTTCATCAAATTGGTTTAGCCCTTATTCAACAATCGCAACACTCCATTCAAGTGCAGCAACAAGTTCATCACCCAGCGTCGTCACAATTCTCACCCAGTCGTCTACCACGTCCTACCCGTCCGTCTCTCGAAACTTTCTCTTCTATTCCTCCTCTCATGAATCATCAGCCACATTGTTCAGAAGTACGTCCTCTTATGGAACAACAAAGCACCCCTGTCACTTCCACTCCAAGACGTCCAGCTAGTGACAGTTTCGACAACGGTGACGGAAATCGTCAACGTATGAAAAAACGTCCGAGAAACAACGATCATCCACCTCGTAATGAACAAGTCGAACAACATCATCTTCCTACACTTGTTCCTTCTCACCACCACCAACATTCTTTTAATATGAACGTTCTTAAACGGGCAGTTTCTAACAATCTACCATGTTTTTTCATCATCTTTGATGCTTCTATTGAACCTAACAATATTCCGTCTAGCATTCAAGTTGCTATTATGCTCAAGAAATTATTTGTTAATAATCAATTACCTATTAAGGAATTGTCGATGTGTGTACAAGCAGGTGAACGAAGATTCAAATTTGCTGTAGGTGATAAAGCTGATTTTTTAACTTTGTTCAATTGGTCTTGGCCTGAGGAAATTGAAGAAAAAAAAGCTGAAATTATCAAGCCTCATACATTGCCCGATTGCTATGCCTTGGTAGTACGATACGTTCCTTTAGATATTAATCAAGAGATTGCCCGACAACAAATCTTAAAGACAATTCCTGCTGCAGTTAGTTTTTCATCTATCCATTATCATCATCGTCAACGTCCATCATATGATATTCGGTTTTCTGTACGTAGCCTCGAACAATATAAAACAGCACTTGAACTAGGTCGATTATCGATTGGACAACATTATCTGCCTCTTACAACATTCCTTACTGGCTATCGACTAACTTACTGCACTGCCTGTTGGAAAATTGGTCACCTGAGAGACAAATGTCAATCACCGGTCAGTTGTCGTAAGTGCTTAGTTCCGTATACTAATGGAGTAAAACACAGCTGTCAAAATGATATCTTTAACTGCGCTCAATGTGGTGGAAATCATTTTTCCCTTGATTCAATTTGTCCAGTTGTAAAAAAATATAAAGAAGAGCTTAAATTAGCTGTTGATAAAGCATTAGTCTCCGGTGCAATCAAAAGATCAACACCAGGGGAAGTATCCCGTCCATTTCAACAACAGGCGAACGATTTTCCATTATTAAATCAAGCTCAAGTAAATAGTCGTTCAGCATGGATTACATCTGACAATGAATCTTTACATTTTAACCTAAAAAAGGAGATAAGTGAACTTGTTGTAGCGATCAAAGCTTTATCAGAGACAATGATTCGGACTGAGAAAAATTTTAACGATTTGAATAGCCGTATCGAACTTCAACATAAACGTACTATACTTCACTGCAATAGTATAAGTGCTATTATCGATACGGTACAACTTATGTCCAAATGGGTGCAGGGTAATAATAATGAAAGATCCAAATTAAAGAAAAATATTAACAAGTCAATTGAAGATCTTCAAGAATGGAAAAAACAATTGGACTCGAACAAAAACAATGAATCCATTGCTTCAATCCCTTCTCCCCATCCAATTACAACTAACAATATCATCGATAACAACAATAACGGGGAAGTAGAAATAAATGACGATCTTTCATTGAACTCTCTAGGCCAAGATGTCTGACTTCTCTTCTCTTCTTAATGTTCATGCTCGTCCCTTTTTTCCTTCTTCTACTTACCACCTTTCCTTATTGGCAAAACCATCTTTCGAAATAGCATTAGATAGACTGGTAAATTGGAAGTTCCCGACAAAAGTTCAAAAACGAATTATACCAATTTTGGAAGAATGGTATTCTAATTCTACTCTAGACAGTGTTTTAACAAAATGGGAGAACAACACATGCCCTTTTTCTAACCAATTTATTCCTTTAAATGTTCTCACGTACAATGTTCAAGGCTGGGGTACTCGTGCTTTGGAAGTAATGGAGCTAATTTTTAAAGTTGATAGTCCAGTATGTGTATTTACTGAAGTAGGGGAACTTTGGGACAGTTTCAAAGTTCCACATTTTACATCTTTTTACCAAAAAGGTACGAATCACAGTGGAGGGGTTATGATAACGATAGGGAAACATCTTCGAGCAACTAGAATTGATACTGATATAGAAAATACAGTAATTGTGGATATCCATGGTCTTTCTGAACAAATTAGAATAATAGGTATATATTGGCCACACGGTCAATTACGTAATTTAAGCGATCTATGCCCCTTTTTAGTAAAAGGTACTGTTTTGACAGGTGATTTTAATGCAACTTCAGACGAATGGGGTAGCCAATCTACTGATAGACGAGGTAATTCTCTGAAGAAATGGATTGAAGAAAATCAGCTGACCTTTATACCCACCACTTCTCATTCTTCTAAAAGATCAAATAGACACATCGATTTAACATTTACTAATTTGAATAGAGTCGAAAATGAAATAGTATTTTACGGTACAAGTGACCACTGGCCCACGGTTTTAAGTTCTCAAAGTATAGGATTTATATCCAATGGCTTCTTTCCCCACATTGATTGGACCATTTACCAAACCATTCTAGTGCTTTTAGAAGAATTCTGGATAAATGAACAAAAAAAGGAAACAATTGATCATTGGTATCAATGTTATGTACGTTTCCTTGCAGCACTAAAATGTCGTTTGACTAGATGGAAAGAAAGAGAAAAATACCGTCCATCTCTCCCTACATACATAGTCGAAAGGCTCCGTGAAGTTCGTCAGGTTCGTAATAAATATTACAGAGAAAGGAAAAAAGCCGGTATTGGAAATGATGATCTTAGAGTGTTGTTAAGAAATATGTCAAGAGAGGTTCGAAAAGAGATTTACAATTATAGATCGACCAGATGGTCCAGCTTTCTGTCCACCATTCAAGGTGTTCATGATAAGCAGGAGAGTTCCTTTTGGTCGCATCTTTCAAAAATTTATAAACCAAAAACGCTGCCCTTTTCGAAATTATCAGTAGGGACTAGTATCATATCAGATGAGCAGGAGATTACGAAAGAACTTTATAAGTACTTTAGAGACCTAGCTAAAGCCCCTGAAATTAATCCATTATATCCTCATGATATTCAAATCGAGACAGAATTTAGAGAACTTCAGAACTTACTAACTGTTTCTAAGGAAACAGGCTTAGAGGCTACATCGATAACGGAAGTCTCTAAATTTATAAAAAAGATGAAAGGAAAGAAGTCCTCAGGTATTGATCAGGTGTCAAATTTTATTATTAAGCTACTTCCTCCGACCTATATAGAAAGTTTAGTAAATTGCTTCAACTTTTGGTTGAAAGAGGGGAGGTATCCAGACTTCTGGAAAGCCTCGAAAATCATTACCCTCAACAAACTTAAAGCTGGTATACCACGTTGCAATCAGACTAGACCTATATCTCTTTTAGCGACCCACTCCAAGCTTTTTGAAAAAGTGCTTCTCGATCGAATACGAACTTGGGCTGAAGGAAATCATCTAGTGCCGCGCGAACAATCAGGGTTCAGAACGAACTGTCTTCTCCAGACAAGGGTTCTTTCCATTTTCCAGGAAGTTCAGAACAATTTAGCTGCGAATGTCCCTACGCTTGCAATATATGTCGACTATGAAAAAGCTTTTGACTTAGTTTGGCATTCTGGTCTCTTGGTCAAGCTATACAGGTTAGGTATACCAACTAGCCTGTTGAAAATGATTTATAGCTGGCTAGATAACCGTACGGCGTATATTTACTATGGGCAAACGAAGTCAAAAGTTTTTAAATTACAGGTCGGCCTTCCCCAAGGCAGTAGTCTCAGTCCCTATATCTTCGTAGTATACCATAGCGATTTAGTAGACTGTCTGGGAGCCCACTCAAGCCATATCTTCGCTGATGACCTGAGTGTGCTCATTCGAGCACCCATCCAAAAATCCTTCTCATCCCTAGTCGAGTATTTAGAGGTTGAAGGGAGTAAAGTGTGCGACAGGATTGCTGACTATTCGATTCGCTGGAAACAACCAATCAATATCGACAAAACTGTCGCACAACTCTTCTACTCTCAAATTAGAAAGCCCACGGTCGACATATATATGCTAGGACAGAAAATTGCCATTGTAGACTCGTTCAAGTACCTTGGATTTACCTGGACGAGTAAATTATCATTGAGACCCACTGTAAACAAAAGCCTCGAGAATATCCAAAGATCGTTGGGTAAGCTCAAATGGCTGCGTAGCGGCAAAATTTTGTCCAAAGATGTCTTGAGAAGTTGTTTCTTCGCGTATATATTTCCCCATTTCGCTTGGATCTTTCCTTTTTTCCCCTTTCTCCCCTCAACACACCAAGAGGCACTTAGAAGAAAGTATAGAGTAGCAATACGCTTAGTTCATCGTGCCCCATTCGTTCACGCTGAGGACCTTTTGACTCTTACTCGAGAAGAACCTCTTGATAATTACGTTAAACGCTATATCGTGAAAAGATTAAAAAAGGTGTGCTCTTCGGATTTAGGTTCTTCCTTATTTCTTGAAGATGTATTCCTTTGGGATAATTTCCATAAGCAAGCTAAAGATGGTGTTGGTCATCTATTTATGTTGAAACGGGTTAAACGTTTAAAATTAAAACACCGCTCCCTTCTCCTAGACTGGCTTGATTTTAATGAGCAAAGTGATAGTAGAAATATAGAAAAGAAGGAACACGAATTCGTAGTTCCTTAATAGTTCCTTATCAGTCCCTTAACCTTCTCTCTGAACCTTTACAACTCCTGCTACTCGTATACTCTGTCCAGCTAGTTAACGTTTTTCATTTGCTTCATTGTATCTCTACCTTATTTCTCTTGTCCTTTGTTTGTTTTTTTTTTCTTCTTTTCCTCCTTTGTTGCTTCCTATCTCTTCCCGTTCTTTCGTGTTCCTTTGTTCTTGTAAGCACTTCCGAGTGTTACAATAAAATGGGCATAAACCAAAATAACTGATCTCATCTTTTCCTAAAAGTCCTTAAGTAGTATTTGATTGATACTTTTAAAAAAATAAAAGAGAATAATTTTTCCAAAGCCATATGGAAACTAAGAAATTCTCAACAAAAAAAAACAGAAATTAAAAAAGACCTTATTTTCTTGTTGAATGGCCATTTGTACACAAAATTTTTACATAAATCCTGTTTTTTACACAGTGATTTTTTCGAATACCAGTAATGTGTTATTTGTTTTTCACGAATCGAGGAAATATCCAAGTGAACGAACGATCCCAAGCAAGGACATGTATGTAGAATGCAATGGTTTTCTCTTTTTGAGGAGAAAAGAATAGAAAAAATTTTTTCTTGTTTTCTACCAATGAATGAGTCTGTACGGATGAAGAAAAAAAAGGTCATTCTATTCTATCCTAGAGGTCATCAATAACATTGGCAAGAAAAATATCTATAGAAAGCTAATATTTTGTTGTCTCATGCAAGAAGAAGAAACAGGACGTTTTGATACATGTTGAAGTCTTTTGAGATCATTTAAATCCATCAATGTTTTATATTCTATAAAAGTTTCTTAAAATTTTCGCGATTGATTTCAACTATGTCGAAATCTGTGAAGTCTCGTGAGTTTTCTTCTAAAATTTCTTGAAGTGTTTTTATGTCTCAAAGTTCATTGTTTTATCCTAGAAAACAATAAACTTCAAAAGACTAATAATTATCAATGACTTGAAAGAATATCATAAAACAATCATTTGCTTTTTCTTTAAGAACAAAAACAAAAAAAAAATTGAATATATAGGTTTGTTTACAGATCAATATTAATTTAACTCCGATGTTATCAAATCCATTTAATCATCCATAAAAATGAGTTATTGTTAAAAACTAAATTGATTTTACACGTCGAAATTAATCGAAGTTAATCTTGCTCCTCCCCCTTTCACAACAAATTTATCTCTTAGAATGTTCTGTTTGGGCTAAAATTTCCAGGAATGAGTAGCCCTAGTAAGAAACACTTCAGGTAAAATTTCAACCTGATGCGTCAAACTGGAACGGACTTCCAGCATGTTATTAATTCACTTATAGCTTCCAGCAGACTCCGCATGACTTCTTTACCAAAATAGCTATAGAGTTCGGAAGGATTTTCAGTTAAAATCAATACCAGTGTGCAATTTATGTCTGAAAAGAATTTAGAAATTCACTTCCATTCATTTTTTATGATTATTTTAGTAAATATGGTTTTCAAAATAAGCAAAACAAAATGCTATTTCACGACACTAAATTTCACTTTACTCAACATAAAAAATAGATATGAAAAATCTGATCGAACAAAAGTTCATTCTCATTTAGACCTTCAAAAAACAGAAAAAAATATTGGCAACAAAACGATTAGTTTAGAAATGAATTTTTTTATTTAAACCCAGGAAAAAAACATTGAAATGGCATATTCATAGTATATATTTAAGTGGAGTTTTTTAACATACATAACAGATGACGTAGCCGAGCACAATTCATCGCACCTCAACTAATAGAATATTTGATTCAATCCTAATGCAAATAAAACGCAATCTTCCTAAAACGGGAAAAAGAAAAAAAAATCTGGAAATTTCTCGAAAAACCTAGTAGTAGGATTGAAGATTGTTCCGAAAGTTTGTTACACATCTGAATAATAATCCTTTCGAAGATGATAAACACAATATTGTTTACTTTCTCGAAGTCCTCACA